GACCTGTATATTTATATATTATTATTTATATATATTTATATTATATATATATATTATATATATCCCTTCTCTCTCTCTACTTTCTCTCCATCCCCCTCCTCTCTCTTTTTTTTTCTATTGTCTCCCTTTTAATTCCCCTCCCTTCTTCTCTCTCGACTTCTTAATCTTCCCCCTCGTATCATACTTATCTATCTATTCGTTATTTCGAGCTACGCTCTCTCATCTCCCTCTCTCCCTTACTACTCCTCTCCTCCCCCTACCTTCCCTCCTCCCCCTTTCTCCTTCTTCCCCTCTCCTTCCTTCTCGCCTCTTCTCCACACAAACAACACACAATCTGTTTGGTCCTTGTTAAACGCCGCCTGTCTTTTTCTCCGAAGTCGGTTCGAGAAGTGTATGCCCTTGGACGAGAAACGACTCTGTCAATTTTGTAAGAAAAAAAAAGAGGCTTTGGAACAGCCACCTTTCTCAAGCTGCAGAAAACCTTACGGCGTCACGTACCCAGACATAGACCTTAAATATTTACTTGAGCACTTGAACGCTGTACCCTAAACGGCTTGCCATAAATACACGAAAGGTACGCGAAAAGTTGCTTTGGTCTTTCCGTTTAGTGTACTTTGATACCGTTAGTGTAGACCATAGCTTGAATGGCTGAGAGACCTGTTGGAAAAATGTCACTCAAAGATCCAGACATTTATCTCTCTCTTTCTCTCACTTTGCCTCACGTTATCCCTCCCACTCCCTCCCCCCTCCCATCTCCCTTCTCCATCTCTGTCATTCTCATTTTTTTCTATCAGTCCTTTTTACATTTTCTTCGTGGCGTGCTTGGACCCTGTTGTCTTAGTTATGGAATAGTGAGGCCCAACATTCGTGACAGGGGTTAGCATCACAGGTGTGTTGGTGGCACGTCGCATCGGCCAACGCATGCGTTACGACATTGTTTTTTAACCGGAGCCATGATCCTGGGCAACTCTTTCCTTCTTTCCGGATGTTTACCACAACACGTGTGAGATTTCCTGCTTTCTCGTGCTTTTCGGCGGGATGGGCTCTTCCGCGGGGAGTAGTCCATCTCGCTAGATAGGAAAAGCGTCGCCACTTAAGAAGGTGCCCGGTCTCTGTGTCCAAGTTAGAAAGGTGTTGCAGGGAGGTGGCGAATGCGTGCAGCCCAGCAGAAGCGACAGACACCTAGGCCATAAGACACTGACCTAGGGGACTCCGGTGAGGTCGCCGCAGTGGCGGCCGCACGGAGTGAATCGAAATCGACGGTGACCCCACTGCACGGCCGGACATTTCCCGAGCCAGGTTCAAGCCCCGGCGGGCACTCGCCCTGACTTTGCAGCGGCCTCAGTTGCCAGGCGCAACCGCCACAACCACGGTCTCTACACCATGCAAGAGCATGGCGACCACGCGGCTTCTCGATGGCCAGACCCCCACCCGATGCTGGCTAAAAGATAAGTGGACGGAGTTGTGCCCCCCCCCGGCGCTCAGTACGATGAAATGTACGTATGTCGCCGGGATTATGATTGTGCAGATGCGAACCCCCCCCCCCCCCCCCCCCCCCCCCCCCCCCCCCCCCCCCCCCCCCCCCGCCCTCCCCCCCCCCCCCACCCGCCCCCCCCCCCCCCCCCTCCCCCCCCCCCCCCCCCCCTCCCCGTGTCCTTTATTCCCTCCTCTTAACGAGGTGATACCCTGGCGAGAAAATCTTGCAAGTGTTTTACTTTCAGCCCTATAATTCTAAAACATCTATATTGTGTGTTGCCGGAGTCTGCCTTCGTCCTAATTCCTACTGTGAAGACCACGACCGCCCCCCAGTCCTCCCTCGCGCGGTGCAAGTGGCGGAGGCGGTACCTTTCCCTGAATTTGAAATGATATTGCCTATCGCGCGCTTCTTCCTAACCGGCGTCCATGCGTATGTCTGGTTCAGTTCAGCTTTTCGTCAACTCAAGACGGCAGTGTCTCACCTGCACTGATATTTTACTTGTCGTCTATCGGATCTGTGCTTGGCGGAGGAGTTTCTATCATGCAAAATTTCACCGACTTTTTTATCTTTTCTTCTTTTTTTCTTTTCTCACTAGGTTTCATATCTCTTCTTTTCCACTTCCTTTTTCTTTTTCCTTCCTAAAACACGCCAGGCACGTCGGTCTTATATTGACTTGCTCGGCTGATCACTTCCATTTGATACTTTCCCTCTGCCAGGTATACACTCCCACCTAATGGAGGGATTATTACTGAACGTGGACCTTGTTTCTACGCTTTGTATTTACACTACAATAATCCTGATATAATACTGTGTGTGTGTGTGTGCGACGATCTTCTACGCTAAGATAGTATGATAGTTAGATGCTAGCCTCCGAATGGCGCTGGCCATGCAGTACTGGTGATATAATCGCCAACTGCCGCGTTAGGTTCTGCGAGGCAGTCTCATCTGAGACTAAACGATCAGCGAAAGCTTCAGTGTAGGCGTGTACTGTCAACAAGTGTATATACGCTCACTGTTGTGGCGCGCTGCGCCTGCGCGACCCACATGGAGCAGCGATGAAGTTCACGTTAGTGCGTGACCTTCTTACTTTCACACATATCGTATCACTCAGTATCTTGAACTGGAAACGTTAACACGAGTGTCAATGGCAGTGTAGTGAGACGTGTCCGGGGTGTTGCGGATGCTGGCGGCGCCTCTGCCAGCGTTGCGGAATGTGTGTGATTTGGCCATACCTTTGTGTTCGCGAGGGAGGACGCCGCATGTAACCACGACGAGGCTCTGGCTGTGTTCGGGTTTGCTTTATGGCTGTATCGCGGTGTCTCCATGGAGGGGGGGGGGCTGATACATTTCGCGCTCTATTTGAGCTGAGGGGAGGATCCTCGCTGGCCAAATGGAAAATTGTTTTAGCAGAATGAGGACTGAGGTCAGAACACGAGAGAACATTAAGGGGTATTGTTCAGGGGAAGGGGGGAGGGGTGTGGACGGAAAAAAACTAGAGAGTGTCTAGAAAGTGACAGGAAGAAGCAAGAGAGAGGGCAACTTAATAAGCCATTGATAACCCACCTGTTGCCGTAACAGTACCTGAGTTGATCTGTGAAAATAACTCGCGACCACGGCTATGGTATTTTTGGAGTCCCAAGGTCGCGTGCTTTGCGGACATGACTTACCCTGGACAGTTTGTTTAGATTTTCTATGGCGAGGATATTGGTGCTCTCTCTCTCTCTCTCTCTCTCTCTCTCTCTTCCTCTCCTCTCTCTCTCTCTCTCTTCTCATCTCTCTCTCTCTTCTCTCTTTCTCTCTTCCTCTCTCTTCTCTCTCTTCTCTTCTCTCTCTTCTCTCTCTTCTTTCTCTTTCCCTCCTCCCTCCCTCCCCTCTCTCTCTTCTCACTCTCTCCTCCTCTCTCTCCTCTCTCTCTCATCTCTCTCTCCTCTTCCCTCTTCTCTCTCTCTCTCCTCTCTCTCTCTCTCTCTCTCTCTCTCCTCTCTCTCCTCTCCCTCTCTCTCCTCCCCTCTCCTCTCTCCTCTCTCTCTCCCCCTCTCTTCTCCCCTTTCTTTCTCTTCTTCTCCTCTCCTTCTCTCCTCATCTCGACTCATCTTCTATCTTCTTTCTCTTCTCTCTCGATCTCTCCTTCTCTCTCTCTCCTTTCTTCGCTTCTCTTTCTCGTTCTTCTCTGTCTCTGTTCTCTTCTCTCCTTTTCGTTTCTTGTTCTCGTTTTCTCTTTTTCTCGTTGTCGTGTTCTTGTTCTTGTTCTTGTTCTCGTTTTCTCTGTCTCTTTTTCTTTTTCGTTTCTTTCTTCTTTCTCGTTTCTTTGTCTCTTTTCTTGTTTTCTCGTTTTCTCTAGCTGTCTCTGTCTCTTTTCTTTTTTTCGTTTTCTTGTTCTCTTTCTCTTACTCTGTTGTTTCTTGTTCTTCTTTCTCTTTCTCTCTGTTTCGTTGTTCTCTGTTCTCTATTACATATTCTCTGTCTTCTCTCTTTTGTCTCGTTTCTATGTTTCTCTTTTGCGGTCTTCTCTCTCTTTACGGACTTGCCACATTGCTCTTTCTCTTCTTGTTCCTCTCTCTTCTTCTCCTCTCGTTTCTCTCATTCTCTGGTTCTCCCTCTTCGATGCTCTATTTTAGTTATATTTTGTTGTAATTTTTCTTTTGTCTTTTATTATTCTTGTTCTCTCCTCCCCCCTCTTCTCTTCTCTCTCTCTCTCTCTCTCTCCCTTCTCTCTCTTCTCTTCTCTCTCTCTCTCTTCTCTCTCTACTTCTATATCTTATCTCTTTCTATATTCTCCCTTACTTAATTACTTTATACTATATTACTATCCCTCCTATCTATATATTACTTACATTATATAATTTCTATTTCTTACTTCCATATTATTTCATTATCAGGATATCGCAGAAATAGTACGAAAGGTGCCCGTAGTAGAGAACGGAGTAAGCGACGACCAAGGGTGAGGAGGAGCGCAGGAGGAGGAGTCTAGGAGGAGGAGGATAGGCCACTTATGGGACGTAACGAGGTTAGAGATAACATGCTTTCTCTCGCTGGCTGTCCTGGTTTGGGTCCAATAAAGGGGCTTTTAGTGTTACTTCTCGTAATATCATTCTTTTTTCTTCTTCTTTTCCTCTTTTCGTCTTTTTGTCTTGTTGCTTTCTTCTCTCTCTTTTGTCTCTCTCTATTTTGTCTCTCTTTGTGCCTTTCTCTTCTTTTCTCATTCTCTTGTCTTCTTTTCTCTTTCTTCTCGCTTTCTCGTTTTCTTTGCTCTCTCGTCCTTCTTTTTTGTCTCTTCTTTTGTGTCTTTCCTTTCTTTTTCGTCTTTTTTTCAATTAATTTTTCTTTCTTTCCGCTTCCTCTTTATACTTCACTTCTCTTTTTTCTCTTGTACGTTCTTCCTCTCTCTTTCTCTTCTTCTCTCTCTCTTTGCCTCTTCTCTTCTCCCTCTTCTTCTTTGTCTCTCTCTTCTTCGCTCATTTTTCTCTGCTTATATATCCTCTTCTCCTCTCTCTTTCTCTCTCTCTGCTCTCTTCTCTCGCCTCTTCCTCCCTCCATTCCCCTTTCTTCCTCCTCTTCACATTCTTCCTCTTCTTGTATCTTTCTTTCTGATCTCTATTCTCCCTCTTTCTCTTATTTTTCCCTTTTCTCTCATCTACTATCACTCACCCACACACACACACACACACACACAACACTCCACACACACACCACTCACAACACACTACACACATACAACACACACATACACATACACACATACACACACACAGACAGACACGAATTTACAAGAACATATACATACACCACATTGCATAACTTACACACACGTAACATAAACACATCACTACAAAATAAATGACTAAAAAAATGAAAAAAATAATATAATAAATAAATAAATAAAAAACATCTTCCATACGTGAATCACTTCCAAGCGATAAATCAATCACCACATACCAACGCCAATACCACATGCTATGTCTACTCCTTCTATGTCCATACCATCTACCTACGCCCATACCACCTTCTTATGCCCATACCACATACCAACGCCAATACCATCTGCTTTCGCAAATACCATTTACCAGCGCCCATACCACCCTCTTATTCCCACACCACATACCTACTCCCATACCATCTGATTTCGCCCATATCAGCTACTTCCGCTCATACCACCTTCTTATGCCCATACCACATACTTACGCCTATACCATCTTCTTTCGTCCATACCACCTTCTTATGCCCATACCACATACCAACGCCAATACCATCTACTTTCGCCTTACCATCTACCCATGCCCATACCACCTCCTTATTCCCACACCACCTACCTACGCCCATACCATCTGCTTTCGCCCATACCATCTACCTGCGCCCAAACCACCTTCTCATACCCATACCACATACCTACGCCTATACCGTCTGCTTTCGCCCATACCACCTACCATTCCCATACCACATTACTTATGCCATACCATCTGCCTGCGCCCATACCACCTATCATTACTAACCATGCCCATACCACCTCCCTACACCCTAGTACCTCATCCTAACCATGCCCATACCAGCTTTGGCATGCCCATACAATTCTTTACGCCTCTCATTTACCATCGCAATGCGCCTCATACCATTCCTACTATTACCCATACCACCTAACCATGCCCATACCACCTCCCCACACCCCTCATTATCCATTCCTAACCTATTCTATATCCAAGCTTCTCATGGGCCCATTCCACAATACCTACACCTATACCTTTATTCTGCCTTCAAACCCCATACCATCCTCCCTTTACATTCCCAA